TCTTCATAATAAAAATAATGAGATATTGGTTACTACTTTAGCCAAAATGTACAATATCTGTCATTAATTGGGGAAAAAAGAAGTAAGAGAGCAATGTGGGAAGTTCAATTTCTACCTATCATTGCAAGAAGTGAAAAGATAATGCCCAGTCTGATTCATTAAGAAATACCAGTCTATACAATACACACAGGAATAAGGAAGTAAATCCTAGAGAAAACTGTCAGAAGGTTTCAGAAAAGTTTCTTTTACCTAGGACTTGGAAATAGAAATGGGTAGAGCACGATCAACTTTTAACTGTATTTAGATTGTTAAGCTATGTAAATATATTTTTAATTAATCTAAAATCATGAACTGACAAAGAACATTTGCAATATATATTACAGGCAAAGGTTGGTACCTTCAGCTAAGGAGTTCTTACAAAAACATTAGCATAATAGAATATATGTAAGGGACAAGAACAGACAATTCATGAAAGAACTATTACTATCCAGGGTGCACCTTTCAAAGCAACAATAGCAAAAAATCCAGTTTCAAACAAAAAAGTAGTATTATTTTAATCAACCAATTAGCAAAAGTTGGAAAAATGGGTAATACAAGTGTTGTTGGTCAAGTTTTATGGAAATGTATTGATTGCGACATGTAAGCTGATACATCACTTCTGGAGGAAAATTTGATAATAGGAATCAAACCCTTAAAAACACACATGACGTTTTATCTGGTAATTCCTGCTACTAATGCAGCTTTAAGGAAATAGTTAAAAGTAAGAGGAGACTTCAAAAATGCATAGAAACACTTTTATTACCTTTTAATTCCATTTTTACACAAACTCACTGAAGCCCCCTTATATGTGTGAAAATTCAGCAACACAACCCTTTTTTAAGGCTGTCTTTAAGCAAAGCTTTTTTGCGGCTGTCGTTTTCAGTGATTTTCCAGAAACAATGATCTCCTTACCTGAACTGTGCGTCCTGCATTGATATGTTCTTCGTGCAACTTATCCCAGATCCTGCACCTCTGATACTACACAAAAGAAAGGGGGAAAGTATTGGATTATTTGTCATTACAGCGAATGCTTCTGTTTACCACAAAATTCCCATTCACTTACCCAATATTAAACATAGCAGCTGAAGCAGAAAGTGACTTATCAGTGGCAGCTAACTTGGAGAACAGTAAGATAAGGTTCCAAGATGTACCTAGAGACTAGATATTGGACATTTCTTTTAGAGCAAATTATCTATCCAACTAGATTTAATTGGAAGGTGCACAAAGATAAATCAAAGCTAGGGAACACTAACTAACTGAACTGAGCAGTTAAATATAATTGTATGTTTGTTTCACTGAAATCTGAACTTCAAGAAAGTAGGAGTTATGTCTATTTCATATAACACTGCATTTCTAACACCCAGCTAAGGGCTTGGCACAGAACCGGTGTGGTGCAGTGAATTGCTTTCATATGGCCTTTCTGGCCATGGTCTTAGAATTTCCACAGAATGGTTGACTGGGACCATGCAAATGTTGTGTAAACCTCTTGGAGGGATTGGACAGTGACTATGCAAATAAGCCGTCTATGGCCTACCAAGAGGATGACTCCATTTTGCTATCCTGCTAGGCTTAAAAGAGCCAATCTATCAGAGACTGAGGGGTAACTCCCCAACACCAAGAGCTGGAAACAGAGTGAGTTTGGTGCCTGCTGGCAGGAGGCTCCCCAACAAACACAGTGTCTCTGGGCACTTGTCAGGGGAGTGAACGAGCTAGTAACACTTATTCAAGCATGACTGAGGCAGACTGCCTTCAGGCATGGCCTAGACAGAGCGGAGAGCTCATGTGGAAGCTGTCCTGATTGACAAACTAGTCCGGTCTCCTGAGTTTTTCCTGCTACTTCCAAGTTGATCCTGATCCTGAGTTGAAACCTGGTACTTTCGTAATAAACCCCATAATCATGAATATGATCTGTGAATTCTGTGTAGCTACTGTATCCATTTATTGAACCCCACAGAGAAGTAAAGAGTTTCATGGGAGGGACACCTAGGGTCAGAATTGGTAAAAAGAGTGAAGGTAGTCTGACCGTCACTTCACAGGAACCAACTTTGGACTGATGGTTAATTATGCTCCCCCGAGCTCTGGTAGCGTAGTGGTTACGAATCGGGCTGTGAACCGCAAGGTCAGCAGTTCGAAACTACCAGCTGTTCTGCGGGAGAAAGATGGGGCTTTCTGCTCCCGTAAAGATTTACAGCCTCGGAAACCCTGTTCAGGGTCGCTATAAGTTGGAACCGACTCCACGTTACTGAACAACAACAAAATTGAGTCCTGGTGTGGCGCTGTGGGTTAATGCGCCAGACTGTAAAACCATTTGAACCTCAAGGTTGGTGGTTCAAGCTCACCAGCTGCTCCTCGGAAACCCTACAAAGGGTCGTTATAGGTCGGAATCAACTTGAGGGCACTCAACAACAACAACAACAACACTGAGATATTAGAGGCCAATCAACATATCTTCATTCTACAAATGGATTACGGCAGGAATCTGCTTTATAATTATCCAGACTTGACTTCTGTTTCTGGCACTTTAACAGGTAAAATGAACTGAAATCTTCCCTCCTGCTACAAAAATCTTGGAAATAAACATCCACTTAAATACAAAGCTGTGCCTGTAAAAACTTTGGGAAAAACCCCAAGGACCAAAACAGAAGGCAGGACTGAATGTCAGAGCAGTAGGCTGATAGTGACCAGGAGGCGGAGTGAGGTGGTGAAGGTCTTAGAGCTACTGTGCTTGAGACTTTAAAAGCTATTAGAAGACAACAGAAGAAACCTGTGGTGTAAACAGGGAGGAGGGGATGCACTGGAATTTAGCTTCATGATAAAAAGCTAGGATACATGAGGGGCTATAAGCTCAAAAGCACAATGTGCTTAAAACCAAAAACAACTATCCATCAGTATTGGCAATAAGAAACCTTGTCTATCTTGGCTGGGATTCTTGGTCAAAATAAAGAAGTTTTTCCCGAGAATTCCTAACTATATGCCTATCTTAGGTGTGTTTGTTGTTGTTAACTGCTGTCGCGAGTCAGTCCCAACTCATAGCGACCCTGTATAGGGTTTCCGAGGAGTGGCTGGTAAGTTTGAATTGCCAGTCTTGTGGTTCAAACCGACCTTATGGTTGAGTGCTTATCCTATAGTGCCACCGCTTAGGGTTTAAATTTCCATTTAAACTTGTAAGATCTAGGAACCCCAAAATTAATGGTATTTTGAAAAGTTACCTCTGGATAAATCCTGAGGAACAAAGCAAAAATAAATCCAAATCCCATCCTGTTTAGAAATATACTTAAGCCTTTCAAACCACGAACCTTTCAGTTAGTATCAAGCACAAACCATCTGCACCACCCAGGGACCTCTTAACCTTACCACAGTTCCCACAGGCATAGCCCAACTGAACGTGAGCTTGCAATCCAAAATTATATAACACAAGAAGAAACACTCTTCAAACTGTGTAAACAACTAAAATGAACTTCAGATTACAGCACTGGAAAGGAACTAAAAAATATGCATATTTAAAATAATCAAAGACATAAATGAAGCATTGAAAGCATGAGAAAACCGCAACATACTATCCGAGAAAGACAGCTACTTTGCGTCTATTAAAACACTACTAAAAATGTGCGTTTGTTGCATTAATAAGCAGGTGTCCAAAAGTTCTTCTTTTTGCTAAACTAAATCCATTTCCCTGTAAATTTTCACCATTGGTCCCACTGCTGACCTTGGAGATGCATATAACTCTAATCTTTTTTACATGTCGACAGGAATTTTAAGAATGGTATTAGAACTAGCCTTCTCTTCTTCAGACTGCTGACATCTAGGTCCTTCAGATATTCTTCATTTGGTTTGGCAACAAGAATTAACCCTCTGTAAACTTTTCACTAATCTCTACCCCTAGCATCAGTGCAATGGCTAAATATAACGTGTCATATTGTAATTCACACCTTTTTCTACTTATGTACTACTAGAATAGTATTACTGAGTTACCAATTTAAAACTACAAATACCTTCATTATGATTCAGATCACTATGTAATAACTAATATTTTTTACCAAGAACAATCTTCATTTACCAACAATAATCTGTAATATAAGTATTGTTGCTGTTAAGTGTCGGTGAGTTCCAACTCATAGCAATCCTGTATACCGTTTCCAAGGAGTGACTGGTGGGTTTTAATCAACAGCCTTGCAGTTCAAACTGACTTTGTGGTCTGGTGCTATTCCTACAGTGCCACACCTGGACTCCAAAATAAGTATTATACACATTTAAATTAGAGATCCAAATCTAATGATCTGCTGGTTATATTGTTATTGATGTTGGTAAGTGCTGTCCAGTCAGTAACAGCATTGTGTACTGTTGTTATGGAAATTGAGTCACTATAAACACTACCTGCAATTAAAATTTAACAGCTGCCTTACTTGCTATAAGTCCTAGTGTGACGCGGTGGGTTATGGAGCTAGGCTGCAAAGCCAGTTTTAACTGCAAAGCTGGTGATTCAAGCTCACCAGCTGCTCCTTGGAAATCCTATATAGGGTCGCTATGAGTAGGAACCAATTCGACTGCACTTAACAACAACAACCTTACTTACTAAGTAACCCATTTCCAAGTATCAACCTTACACGTGGTGGTGATGTGTTGTGGAGTTGGTTTCAACTAATAGCGACCCTGTAGAGGGTGTCGGAGGCTATGAATCTTTACAGGAACAGAAAGCCTCATCTTTCTCTTGTAGAATGACTGGTAGTTGCGAACTGTTGACCTTGAGGTTAGCAGCCCAACTCGTAACCATTACGCTACCAGAGTTCCTTACCCTTACATGTGTAGTACGGGCATTTTTGTTGTTATTGTTGTTTTTCATATAATATCAAGCTTCACAATAACCCTATGAGGAACATTTTACTTTTACAATTGAAACTCTCAAAAGATCAAGGACATTTATAGTTGTCCCATGAATGGTTAAAACAGTAAATATGAAATCCGTGAACCTTAAGATCTGCTCAGTGCGGTGTGAAGATGGTGTGTCTGTCTCTGCGGGGAGATGGAACACATCAGGGCATGCATACTCCATAGGGAGTAAGTGAGCTGGGATCTGAACAATAAGGAATATTTGAAAAGTAGCAACAGATGGAATAGATATTGTTGATAGATGTAGGTGAGAACGCAAAACCATTTAACTCCACATTTTTCCTACCTCCATCTTTATTGAGAAAAATGATCTTCAAAATAGAAAAGTCTACAATAAGCATGATTAAGAAGAAAATGCAAAGCAAAAAAAGAGTAAGAGCAAGCCTAGTTACTTCAAACGAATTCATGTCAACAGGCTCAGGGAAATTACATTTGAGTGAACCAAAAGACTTTGCAAATGCAGTCAGAGAAACATTTTGCTTATCTTTGAGGGACTGTGGAGAATTGGGAAGGCTCCTAGAGACCAGCAAATATTGACCCAATTTTCACAAAAGGAAGTATATTTAAGACACTGCAGGCTGTAGATCTTAATGTAAATCTTTGAGAAGATTCTATACTAGATTAGTAGAGGGGTGATTTGTGAGACTTTGAAAGAGAAATGGTGACGGTACACTAGTATGCTCTGTGCCGTTCCTGTCCAACAATTTCACCAGTGACTTGAAACAACAAATGCATGTAGGTAACATTAACTAGAAGGAATAATTAACATGAGTGAAAGATTACAATTCCATACAATAAGAAGAACAAACCTAATAATGATAAACACAAAACCTGAATTGAAATAAAAAAAAGCACTTGGACACATACAAGAAATTGGTATGCTCTAATTGCAACAACTGCAGTTCATACAAAAAGTTACATGGATTTTATTTAGTTGATTACAAAACCAATAAAAATAGAGACAGCAATATAAAGTGACTTCTAAAACAACTGATACACTCTTAGGCTCTATGCTAGCATACGTATATTAATTCATTCAAATGACATGTATTAGGGCCACACTCTGGTAGCGTAGTGGTTACCAGTCAGCC